GCCCCGCCTGCCCGCACCCGCCGGCCACCCCGTCCCGCCGGCCGCCTCCTCTCCGCTCTGCCTGTTTCAGTGTGTACGACACGCGGAAAGGCCCTCGGGACAGGTGCACGGGGAGTCGTGAGAGTGAGCGTCCCCTGAGTAACCCCCGAGCTCGGGAGGAGCTACGTGGGAACCAGGACGACCGTCAGAAACAGCTACAGGAACAAAGTCACCTCCCCGAAACTCTGCCGCCTCCTTTGACCTTGCCCTCTCCTCCCTCCCTCCCCGAAGCCGGACCCTCCGGCGGCCGCGTGTGGCGTCAGGCCATGTCCCTTCCCCTGAACTTCGAGGGTTCTCGTGGGCGCAGATGCCATCTCGACCCAGGACGCCCGGGCCCCGGCTCCAGGGCTCCTCCCTCACGAGCTCTGTGCCCGCCCCGGCCGGCCAGCTGCGTGACTGGGGACCCCGTGCCCTGGGAAGTCAGCCTCGTCATCATTCGGACGCCGTGGCTGTGGCTACTCTATGGAGAGGCCTCAGCTCCCCTCACGGTCCCGGAGACGAGACGTCTTTGAATCGGTGCCTGCCACGGTCCCCACAGTGCTGTGCAGCCGGACGCGCCAGCCTCCGACCGTCCCTGTCCCTGTGACTCGTCATCTCGTCTCCTCGAAGACGCCGTCATGTCCGGCCTCCCCGCTGCGTCCTCACAGCGGTGGCTCCAGCCCGGCCCACGTCCTGCCGTCTGGCCAGAGTCGCGGTCCTCGGGAGCCACCGCTCTGCCGCCCCCGAGCAGCTCTGCCTGCTCCGCTCACGCCCCGTTTACAGCCCCCACTCTGCAGGCCCGGTGTCCTGGGCGACCTGGCCGGGCCCCCCGTCCTGCCCTGTGAACGAGGGGGGCTTCTGCTGGGCCTGGGGCGCTGGCCTCCCGCTCCAGTCATTTCTTGTCTCAAAGACGCACAGACTGCTGGCCTCTCAGCGTCCAGGGACCTCGCACGCCGGGGTCCTGGACGCGACTGCCGTCCACCTGCCACCCCCACAGTGAGACTCGAGGAGGGGCGCAGGGCCGCCTAACGTCCTCCCGGGACACCGCGTGTCCCTGCCTTGCCGTTTAGGGACACGTGTGACACCCTTACAATGCGCCTGGTGCACGGAGCGCTCCGAGGGCCCCTTTGCCCTCACTGAGGCTCACAGACACTGCCTCGGTGAACAAAGTGATCCCGAAAGTTAGACCCAAAGCGATTCGCTCGGCGACACCGTGGTTTTGTAGGTGAATCAGCGGGAACACGTGGAGTTTAAGGACGAGCCCCGGAGCCCAGCTTAACGTCGGAGCCACTGGAACAGGGTGTCGAGAGCCTGTGCAGGGCGCTGTGCCGAGGGTCTGTCCACGGCACCCGCCGGCCCCGTCGCCTGCGCTCGCTTTTCCTAGACCCGGCGCTGCCCGGAGTCGCTGCCGAGACCGCCGGCCTCTCCAGGCGCGGGGCCGACAGCAGAATGGACGCGCGGGGCCCCTGGCGAAGAATTAAATATTCGGACTTACGAGACAGCCCCAGTGAAGGCTGAACCTAGCGGGGTCCTATGTCACAGCCCAGAGTCCCCGACCCCCAGGCCGCACAGCCGGAGGTGAGCGCGGGCGAGCGAGAGAAGCTGCATCTGCATCTGCAGCCGGCCCCAGCGCCAGCATCGCCGCCTCAGCTCCGCCTGGACCGGCAGGCGTTAGACGCTCGCGGGAGCCCCGGTCCCTGGCGCCAGGAAGGGTGGGGACCTGTCACAGCCCACGCCGTGCCTTGACCTCTGCGTCTTCCAGGGGGGACACTGAGGGTTTGGAAGCCTAAGTCACTTGACTCTTCTTCTAGACCGTGATATTATTTCACAAAAGTCAAGAAAACTCAATCAATACTGTAAATACTAACACCTTTAACCAAAGCATAAGAGTTTCCTTAAAACGAGAAGTGGCCGACCCCTCACGCAGTGATCGTTTGCGAATGCACAATGGTTCCTTCCCGCTGTCTCGGCTTCAGTCTGCAGGCAGAGCTGAGGCAGTTTTGACATGTTGTGACATTTCCGTGGAACTCCATGTTTCAAGGTAAACACATGCAGCTGCCCCTAGCCAGGGGTCGGTCTGGCAGCGCGTGAACAGGGCGCAGCCTGAGCGCCCTCCCGTCTCTGCCCTCCTCAGGTGGCGTCGCTGAGCAAAGCCCGGACCCAGGCGGAGCGAGGTGACGGCATCCACCTGTGCAGCGGGGCCTGCGGGCCGGTGCCGGCACCGCCCAGCACGCGCCCTGCTGGCTCGGATTTGCTGCTGGGCACGGTCCTTCCTCGCTCTGAGCACAATCTCCGCCACTGGCAATTCGCACCGCCCTGGCACGTGTGCCAAATTATCCGGGCTTTGTAATAACTAGGGCTACAAAGCAAGCCTGGGGGGCAATCCAGTGGGTTCAAGGCCATTCTGATCCCCCCCAACTCGACTTCCTATTAAACATCCTTACAAATCAGGGGGACGAGACCAAGAGGTAAAGAATCATAATTTGGGCCCAGAAACCAAACCCATTTTGCATGAGCCTCTAAACTCCCACGAGTTCTCTCGCATGTGAAGGGACGTATGGGGGTGACACCAAGAGTAGGGCCGGGGGGCCTCGTTGTTGCTGAGACCATCGCAGGATGGAGCCGAGCTTGGGCAGCCCCCGCCTGGAGCACGGGGGACCTAATGGAGGTGTCAGGGCCGCGAAGTCGCACGGCCGCTTCCCCAGTAACTGTCTTGGAAAACGAGAATGCTGTTTTCATCAATTCAGTGAATCACACGGATGGAAACGAAACTGCTTCTTGCACCCTGAGAACACACGAAGATTGCTCTCGGAGTTAGGCTGTCCTCCCAGATGCCCGCGGCCGGCCCAGAGCTGCGGGGGGCTGATCGCACGGCTCAGCAGAAGCCGAGAGAAGCAGCGTGGACACTGGTCCCCAAGCTCCGCCCACCCGCCCGAGCCTGCCGCGCGCAGCCCGGCATCCATCAGTGGCCGTGGACAGCCACGATTAGATTATAAAGTCATAACTGCGGTCGTTGTGCGTCTGCCGGCATAATTACATCAGCATGCTAATGCCGTTTTAATGGTCTCTAATGATGTAATAAGAAATAATGGAATTTACTTGACAGCTACATAACCATTAACAAAACATATTAAGCATAACTAGTACTTCCATAAAAACGCGGACGATCTCTGAAAGTGCCGGCTTGCGTGGCGGCCTGTCCCTCTCCTGGGACAACGAGCACCGCTGAGAATGCGCTCGTCACGGCAGAGCCACGTGTGGGCCACAGCCGTCCCCTCCCCGAGGCCACCGGCACAGCCAGCCCGTCCGGGCGCACGCCCTTGGCGTGTGCCACCTCTGAGCTGGTCCTGGGGTGACGCACAGGACACGCTCGCGTGGCTCGGGAGGGACAAAGTTAACACCGCACACGTGTGCACACAGGGACGAGAACCGGCGATCCCAGGGCGTAGTACAGCCATGAACGGCCAGGATGGGCCTCTGAGAAGTTGCAGCTCTGAACCACAAAAGGGACCAAGAGCAGGGGACTGGGGACGCCCCGCTGGGCCGGGTCACTGGGGAAGACCCTCCCTGGTGTTTGGGAAAACAACGGACGGTCAGGAAACGATCCCGAGGGGGCCCAAAGGAGTCTCACTCTGAAGCAGCCCCACCGTGACCCCTGCCCTTCGCCCACCGTTCCCAACGCCGACCGAGCCGTGGGGCCACCCCTGATCACGAGGCCACCGCCGCACCTCTCCTGTCGGCTCCTCGGCCTCTGCCTCTCTCCCCTCGATGGAGGGGCGCCGCTCCCTCACTCCCTCGTCCGCCACGCGCTCGCTCCCGTGGGGACTCGGGGACTCGGGGCCCCAGAGCTCCGGCCCGCGCCGCGTCTCCCCCCTACGGGAGTGGGGCCAGCCACGTGTGCGGCGGGTGAGCACGCGTGTTTCACAGGCGTCTGCGCCGTGCAGTCGCCGTGCTGGGCGCCCTATGCGAATCCTTGGCGGGGCCTCCTCTGACCGAGCTGAGGGTCCGGGGCGAGGGGCGCAGGTGATGGGCGCCATGTCAGTGCAGAGAGGGGCCGGGCCGGGCAGCGATGCTCGGCGAACCTGACTCTGCAAAGGAAGCAGCACCGCCGGGTCGGGCCTGGTGCTCGCCACGCCCGTCTGCGCCGCACAGCTGCACAGCGCCCACGCTCCAGCTCAGCTCCTGCATCTGACAGCCACGTCTGCTGGGGGTCACGTACCGCGGGACACTGGATCCCGCATTGGAGGGAACGCAGCTGGACCAAGGACAACCCTACAGGACCCTCGACATGTAACCAGCCTCAAAGTAAAGTGTTAGGGGGGGACTCCCAATGTCACCTCCGCCACCGGGACGCACGACCTCCCTCCACGGCCAAACCCCACCAGACAGCGGCCACCGCCCCGCCCAGGACCCTCCGCAGTCCCCGGTCACGTGGGCCTGCTCTGTCCCGTGACTCACTCTCCACGCGGCCGGGAACTCTCTGCTGGCGTCCAGCACAAAGGAGGGAAGCCACACCCTTCAAAGGGCCTCGTGGCCCCAAGGAGCTGCCCACCCGCCTCGCACCGTCCCCACCGTCCCCCGCTCCCCCGCCGTCTCAATGGGCGACCCGCTGGAAGCAGCGCGGCGCATGGGCGTGTCCCCTACCAGACCTGGCTCGGCCCCCTCAGTTCCTGCCAGAGGTCAGCTCCCCGAGAGCAGGGACCTCGCCCCGCCTGCTCCCGGCCCACCCCGGTGCAATGCGGAGAGCAGGTGCTCGGTAAGTATCCACTGAATGAGACTGTCCCTTGACCATCGCGTCCGCCTGTCACAGCTGACAAGAGTCCCTCGTCAGCTGCACTGGTCTCAGGTCCCAGGGGCCAATGAAGGGAGTCGTTGCCTGGTCTCCTGGGTCCGGTCATGGGGGGAGGGCCTGAGGACGTGGGGCCCCAAGGCTGCTCGCTGCGGTCCCTCCACACGCACACCCTGATCGTGGCGGGTCCTGCTGGCGGGTCACGGCGGGGCCTGCCCTCACCCCCAGCTCCCAGCAGGCGCTTCTCTGCCCAGGCGCCCGTCCACCGTGCACCAGGGCTGCAGCCTCTCACCAGCCCCTCCGTCCCTCCTGCCTGCTGCTGCGAAGCCCCCGACTCCTGTTCGGGCCCAGTCCCTCCCCTGGGATGCCGCTGTGTGGGCCCAGTCCGGGCTCTGCAGACGCCAGCTTCTGGACCCGCACGGCACGCCTCACCTGCACAGCGCACCTGTGAGGCAGGTGTGTGCCGGCTCGGCGGACCAGGCCCTGGGCTCTCGGCGCGGCCTGCGTTCTTCGTTCCGGTGCTTGCTAGGTGCGCCTTGCGCTCTGTGCTGCGGCCACACCCCTCTGCCGAAGTCTGTTCCCCATCCTCAGGCTCTCCTCTTCCGGAGCTTCCGGGCCCCAGGCCAGTGATGTGCTTCCCCTCCCCCACACGTGTCTCCCAGCGCCTTCCGCGCCAGCTACCTTCACCTGGCTGCCTTTCCCAGCAGGTGGGGCGTATCGGTGCCTGTGCCTGCTCCTAGCTGAGGCCAGGTCATGGCAGGTGCTCACATGAGTGACAGGGACCAGTGTCTGCAGGCCACGGTGGAGGCTCCTGGCTCCACGTTCTTGGGGTGGGGGCTCGGCTCAGCCTTGCCTTCTGGTCCTGAGCCAGGGGTGTTGCCTGTCCTTGGGCCCCCGTCAGAATGGCCCCCATGTGGGGCTATGCGCGATCCGCCCGCCCCCGCGCCTGACGCCCCACCCCGGACCTACACATCACCACTTGCTCCCTTTCCGCGGGGCTCGTCCTCCCAGCTCTGCACACTTCCCAAGAGATGGAAGCGGCCGCCCTCGCGTGCACCAGCTGCATGCGGCACCCCTGCCGCCCCGATGTCGCCGAGACGCACAGGGCCCTGGACGCCGCGCTCGGCAAGCGCTGGCCGAGCCCTCACGGACGCATCTGTGGGTGGCGGTGCAGGCGGCAGGGACCCCGGAGCCTCCGGTGGTCAGGGGAGCCTGCGGCGGGGACCCCTGCCCGGTGGGCCCCGCGCCCGCACGTCACGGCTCTTATAATTACGCTCCGATTCTAGCTGTGTTTAAATAACTCACCAAACCCCGCTGGGGTTTTCCTGTCATTTGCTGCTGAAGCAGCTCCTCTCTGACATAATTAACGGGAACCACAGGCGCACAGTTCTTTCCCTTACAGGCCAATTTAGACACGGAGCCCGGTGTGAGGCGGGAATGAACCCCGAGGACCCCGAGCCCCAACTCACGCGACGTCCGCAAAGATGCTCGCCGGCAGCGGCAGGAGGTGTGCGACGTCCTCCATCAGCTCCTTCCCCTTCTCCGGGCTCAGGGGGCTGTGGAGGGAGAGCAGAGACAGGAAGCTGCGTGACCCAGTGGGCTCGTCGCTCGGTCCCCACACGCTCCCACCCGGCCTCAGGATTCTGAGCGCCTGCCGCTCGCGTATTCCTGTCACATAGTGACCAGGCTCTCGGGGCAATGGGGATCAGGTGCTTCTTCAGCCATGATGAATCACCTGAATTTTCCAGCAATAAGACAAACAATTCAGTGCGAATGGAATTATTAGGACGTGTAATGGGCTCATCTCGGCCTCAATAGAAAATACAATAAAGAGGAGGGTGGGAAAGGAGAGACGGGGGGCGGGGGGAGCAGGCGCTGACGCCAAAGCCTCAGCACGGCAAGGCCAGTGCACAAAGGAAGCCCACGTTTAATGGGTTCGTTTCCAGAACGAGCCGTGTGCCAATGCACGGCCACGTCGGCGTCACGGTGAAGGGTGACAGCCGACGGGATGAACGGCCCACCGGCGGCTCTTCAAAAGGGGCGCGCGTCCCGGGACGACCCCCGCCAAGGCCGGCTCCCGCGGAAGAGCCACCGCCTGTCGTCTGCAGTTCTGACGACACAGCCTGAACCCCAGCACCCAGTCAGCAAATCACGTGTCGCCTGCGGAAGCTCGTTAGTCCCACCTCAAGGAAACATCCCATTGCATCGTCACAGAGAAACCGAGGAGCCGAGTTTCCGCCCCAGCTGGCCATTCGTCCACTCCCTCAGCAAACGCATAAGGCGCCCGCCGCAGCCAGCGCCGGCTGCAGGACACGCGACAGCAAACGAAGAGCGAGCCCTGGCCTTCGCGGGGCTTCGCTGCAGTGGGGGCTCAGGCGCCAAGGTCACCAACGAGCGAAAGGGGAGTGTGCTGCCCTGGGTGCGACTGTAACACCGGAAGTTCACACGCTGAAGCTCCAAGCCCAGGGCCTCAGAACGTGGCCTCGAGCAGAGACCGGGCGGGTGCAGAGATCTGCTGGGGGCGAGCTCCCTGGGGCTGGCCCTGACCACATCACTGCTGTCCCTTCAGAAAAGGGCGATCGAGACGCAGACAGACGCGCGGAGGGCAGACACTGAGGACGGCAGGCGCCAAGGCCTCGGGGCAGGAGGTTCCGGAAACTCTGGCCCGTGCGCCTCGCGGGCAGCGGGTGGGAGCGTGGGGGCCAGGTCAGGGGCAGCTGGGGAGGTGATGCAGGAGACGGGGCACCGAAGGGCTTTCCCAGGACCACGGGGACGCTGAGAACCGACGGGGACCCAAGGAGTCCGTTCACCGGGAGCCTCCGTGTGCTCGTCGCTCTCTGCCGTCTGCTGCAGCCGCAGCCGGGGGCTCGCTTGTCCCAAGCCGGCCGGTGCCCGGGGACATCTGCAGGTAGGTGAAGTCTGTGGGACTGGCTGCGGACCAGGACAGGTCCAGAGGGAGCCGTCCTGTGCGGGTGACAGCTCCGGGGCACTGCCCCGCCCGCGTGAGGGTGGACAGGCGACAGGGGCTTCCACAGCCCAGCGTCACAGGAATGGACACGTCCCTTAGAGGCCACCCTGGGAGCGTCTGTGGGTGGAGGGCCTGCAGCCACAGGAAGCCTGCGCTGGGATGCGGGACGGGCCTGTGGTGCCCCAGGAGGCGGCCATTCCAGGTCCCTGCACAGTGCAGGCGGCCAAGTCTCTAAGTCTCTAAGCAAGTGCACAACAGGCTGCGGAGGCCGCCAGGACGTTGGCCACCCTGGTCTAGGTCCAGGCCCAGGCCCGTGGCCAGTGACCTTGAGTCACAGGCAGGGGCGTGTCCTGTGTCCACGGACCTGGCCCGAGTGCCCGTCCTCCCCTTGTCCCCTCAGCTTCTGACCTCCCGAATCCTGAGCGCATCAGCTGCTTGGCTCCCGAGGGGCCGGCTGTGCCCCGGCCGTGTCCCCCGCTGACACCTGGGCACATGCAGCTATGAGGCCCGGTAGCCGGTGAGGCCGCGACCTTTCAGCTTGACTGCCCCAGCATGGGGAGGGGACAGACGCGGCTCATCCGCAGGCCCGGGGCAGCGCTGGTCAGCAGGCACGCACTGCACCACGTGAGGTCAGCGCCCACGCCGCCTGCTCACGGCCACGGCGTGTTCCACGCATGTGCTCACGGCGTGAGCGAAGGAACACGCGGGAAAACACAAAAACATCAAGAAACGAACGTTTCCTAAACCATTACGACGCGAGTTTTTAAGTGAACCCCGGCTAGCCCACAGAACTGCTGTGGAAATCAAATAATGCGATTTGTATAAAAGCCCTTGAAACCGAACCACTTCCGGTCCGAGGCACGTTGTCACTAGTGGCTGGGTCCCCACCTCGCCGTGCCACGTCTGCTGGCGCGCTTCACGAGAAATGATCCGGGCTCCGGCTTCGACCTGCGGGAGCGCCCTGCTCCCCGTCCCCCCGGAGGGCCCAGCTCGCCCGTCGGGGTCCTCAAGGCTGTTTTCTGTGGAATCAGTCAGAACACAGCCCGCTGCCCTTGAAAGCGGAGACGCCGCTGTGTCGTCCCTGCCCACCTCTGGTGGCTCGTCCCCGGGGAAGGCTCTGGGCCCCGCCTGTCCCAGGTCCCGAGACACCTCCGGGCAGTTACACAGACCGCGGGGAGCGCTGGGACGGAGGGGCCTGTGGGCGGTGTCGGGTGAGCACCCCGCAGACGCCGCTTCAGCCGTCGGCTGAGAGGTAACCCAGACTCAGCTGCTCCGTTTGGCGAGTTGCTCCTCACCTGACGTAGAGCTGAGGTGATCGAGGTCACGAGCCCGTGGGGGAAGCCACGGTCCAGGCTGGAGAGCAGTGTGGGTGGCTGTGCTGTCCGTGGAGACGCGGTGGCCTGGAGGAGGTGCCAGCACCAGGGAGAGCCACTGACAGAGGCGCACGGGGTCGCGGCTCACAGGGCACTTTGAGAGCTGGCAGAGCGACGCCAGCTGGAATTCTAGAGAGTGGGTGTGACCCGCATGCTGCGTCTCAGACGCCGGGTCCTGGAGAGGAGCCGAGAGCCGCGGGGCCGAGGGGCGAGCAGGGGCCCGCAGCCACAGGAAGCCTGTGCTGGGATGCGGGACGGGCCTGTGGTGCCCCAGGAGGCGGCCATTCCAGGTCCCTGCACAGTGCAGGGCACGGACCCCGTGGACGCACCCACACGTCTGCTGGGGCCCACTGGGGGCTGCAGGTGGAGACCAGCAGCCTGCGCACGTCGCCCGTGCTGGGCGTCAGCCGCCTCTGACCAAGCTTCGCTGCCAGATCCCGTGGATTCGTTTTCTAGCTTGTTTTAAACCAAAGAGGTAACGTGGTGAGGTGGGGCACGCAGAGGCTTCCTCATGAACCACAGCCCCCGTCAGCCTCATGACTGCACCCTGAGCCAACACCCCTTCGCCCCCACGGAGACATAATCAGATGATCCAAACAGCCCTGAAGACGGCGATGACGTTCGCCCGCTCGGGAAACACTGCGAGCCTCCGATGGCGCGAGCGGCACACGGCGCGGCCGGCCGCCTCTGCGGGCAGCGAGGGCGCGTGGCCCCCGCCTCTAGCGATTCCGTTCAGCGCATCGGACAGAGGTGGTGCCGATTGTGCTCGAAACGAGCACGTGCTTCTATTTTGTTTTTAAAGTACGTGGCCATCATCTGTCATGTTCTGGTCAGAACGTCCTTGGAAGGCGGTGGACTGCATCTCGGAAATCGATGGGCAGACGCAGCACGTGCACTGGCATCATCCACCCTGGTCACCTGGACGCCCAGAGCTGCCGTGGAAGAGACAGACGTGAGCACTTCAGAGGCTCAGGGTCACTGCCGGCCCCGCTGTCGGGTGACAGAGGGGTTTTTCCACTCTAGGCAGCGTCCCCTCTGATGCGAGGCACAGCTGCACACTAACACCGCCGCCGAATCGTTGGGAACGAGGGCGCTTCTAGGACGAGCTGCGGAAGCAAGACGGGAAATACGGCGCACGCATCGGTCACTCGATGGGGGTCCGTGAGGCGTGACAGCCTCGAGCACCCCCCGCCGTACAACGGCCCCCATGGTGCCCCCCAATCGTCGCTGGGCTGAGAGGGCGGATGAGACTCGAGAAAACGGGATGTGTCAGGTGACGAAGCAGCTGTGAGACGCCCCCCTCAGAACAAGGCTGTGAACTAACTCGAGGGTCAAGGGGCGTAGGGCGGCAACTCCGAGGGCCCCTTGTGCTCCCCGACGCTGAGGCCCCGCATGCGCCGCCTCGCCCAATGCTCCGGGCAGGCCTTCCCATGGAAAGGGTTGGAAACAGAGACCAGGAAAATTAAACTCGCTGCTCAAGGTTTCCCAAAGGAAAGCAGATCTACACACTGGTGTCGGCCAACGCGGGATGCGGGCGTCGGGAACTGTGTGTGTTTGGGGGGCTGCATCCTGAGCTAGACCCCACCTTAACTAAACTGCAGAGGATCTGCAGCTACAGCTCTCCAGGTCTAACTCTCAACGCTGCTGTGTCTTCTGCTAGGTGAGCGGGGACCAGGACTTGTCCGTGGTGCTGCCTGGGCGCTCACGGCCAGGACCCCACGTCTGATGCTGACCGTCTGTTTCTGCTGCTTCACGTCCTGATCGTGGGAACTTTACGATTTATTTGAAAATGCAAACGTAGTGAACCAAATGGTTGACAGACCGCAAAATAAAACCAGTCAACTTAGATACAAAGGTTTTGATGAGATGATATTTGAAACCAACAGATAACATGGGGCAGGCAGGTGCGGTGCCTTTAACACAAACGCCTAGCAGAGTTCCTCAAAGGAACCTCTATTTAGAAGCAGAAGCCTCGTCGCTGGCACTTCTAAAGAATCAGCTCTGCGACTGCATTTCTGGTACAATCCGGTCCTCAAAGGGCCTTGGGAAGAACCTTCGCATTCATTATGTCCATTTTCCTAGAATTTCCCCAAAGCCCAGCTGACGGGCACGCGTCCGTGCCGAGCCTTTGACGAGCTGAGGAGCTGGTGCTCGGCCTCCCGGGGGGCCCTGCTCGCTCCCTGGCCCCTCGCACACCCAGGGTGTCTGCTGGGCG